CAAATAATTTAAAGTCAGCATTTTCAATTCTAGGGGTAGATTCCTCTAAGGAAAAATGAGACTGTCTCTGTTTACAGGGTAATGGAGATACTTGAGAAATATAAAGTTGAACAGATGTTAGGGAGTGAGTTATTTCATGGGCTTACCAAGTGCCGAAGCCAGGAGTACCAGAAAGGTGTTTAGTTAAGGGGATTTTCAACTAAAACCAACCTGACCAGCACAGAGTGATTACAGTCAGGCAACTGTTTCTCCAGGTTCTTTCTTATCTTATTTCTTCATTTAGCTGAAGCATACTCTTCAAGAAGAAATTCTTTGACTTATTTAATTCAGAGGTTACTTACCAGAAATTTTCCAAGCGAATAATTTCTGAGAAATATTCACGTTTGGCTTTGTCTTTCTGCCCACAGGACATTCCTTCTTATTTATTGTCCTGTGGAAAGAGATAGAACGATAGTACAGCAGTAAGGCATTTGCCTTGTGCACGGCTGGCCCGGCTGAGCTGGGTTCGATTCCTCCGGCCCTCTTGGAGAGCCCGGCAAGCTACCGAGAGTATCTCACCCTCACAGCAAAGCCTGGCAAGCTACCCATGATGTATTTGATATGCCAAACACAGTAACTAGTCTCACAATGGAGACGTTACTGGTGCCCACTCAAGCAAATCGATGAGCAGTGGGAGGACAGTGCTACAGTGCTACAGTAAAGAGATGTCAGCTGGTGCCAGAGACAGGGATGGCATCCACACGCATTTGCTAGCTAATCACACACACAACGCCAAACAAAACCTATGTTTGTTTGTGTTCATATTCACACACAACTGTAGTGTGACAGCCCAGTGTGGAGTTGCTACTTGCATTTTTGTCTTAATTTGGTTTTGGTGAATCCCACCCTTTGGGACTCTTTTATTGAAGGAGCTTCCAGACAAATAATTAAAGAAAAGGGGAGGAGGGAGGCCTGGATAAATCACACATGACCTTTCTCACACCCCTCAGCCTGGCTCTTGTTTCTCACATCTCCCCATGCTCAAACCAAGTATGTATCACTTCTTCACCCAAGAGTGAAATAGTAAAGCCAACAGCCAATAGACATTGCACATCCCTCGTCTTCATTGTTTGGTGGTGTGGTTTGGGGGTTGGATTATTTTTTCTTTTTGTATAATGAACATAGTTGGTCTTTTTAAAAATTTTGCCACTTTAAATTTTAGTACATTAGGGACGGTTGCTAAAATGAGTGAGTAAATCCTAGATTAGTGGAATCTAATACTCTTGGGACTAGAGAAGATATGAGCAAATGTAATTATTATAAATTCCAAGCTGTCGTTGGAAATTTGCAGGTGTTTCTTTACAAGAAGAAAGATTTATTAACAGCCAGAGATTCTGCTTACCTCTTGGAATTGAATAAATTTGCCTCAGGATAACAATTATTAAGTTATCATGATGAATGTAAGAATAAAGTAACTAAGTGACAGAAAGGTGATTCTGTGGGTCAGGTGCTTTCCTGGGACATGGCCCACACAAGTTTAATTTCCCAAGCCCCAGATGCCCCCTTAGTGCAGAGCCAGGAAGAAACCCTGAGCACAGTTGGGTGTGGTCCCAAAACAAAACCACAATTAATCGAATATCTTAGTGTGGAAGTCAGAATCATACATAAAGTCTCTAAGATGACCCGGTAAAGTTTAAAATCTCTTACTTATTTATATTATTTTATTTTTATAAAGCTGTTCATAATAATTTATTGCCTTTAATTTTCCAACACCAATCCCACCACCATTAACCTTCTCACCACCATATTTCGAATGTTTCCACTGCAGTCCCCAATGCCTGCCCCCAAAGCAGGATCTAAATAATCTATTTTGTATTGCATGTTGTGAATAATCCTCTAAAAATGATCTCAAAAAGTTTCCTTAGAGGAAAGTGTGTGAAGGTTGTTGTATTTCAGCATGGAGCCATTAAGCGTTTGTCTAAGAGATTAGTAACATGTTGTTAAAGGTTGAGACTTGTGTGCTAAAATATGTGTGTGTGTGTGTGTGTGTGTGTATTCCTCATATTGGTTGTCTTCTCCCTTACACCCCATCAAATGTGGTGTGCTACTCTTAGTACATCAAGTGGTACAGAGTATGAGATGATCCAGGAATTCTAAAATTTTTAATTAATTGAATTTTTTAAAAAAATAAGAACGGTCACTTTGGGGTCCAAAGCATCTCTGCAGTGTGTTGCTCTGTGTTACTCTCTTCCCAGAGATTTATTTGTGAGTGGCTGGATTATGGATGTTAAGGAGTTTATATGGTGCCAGAGACAGTTTCTGGGTGCAACTTCTAGGCCCTAGAAGCACAGGGAGATAAGGGGTGATCACCCATTCTTGGCTTCGTGAGAGTCGAGATTTCAATCACAAGTCCCGCATACATGGGGTTTTTATTAGTAGATTCACTCATTCATGAGGCTTGTCCAAGCCTGTGGAGATCGTCCATGAGCATGGCAGTGATTGATTTCTGGAGGTTTTTGGCTGCCAGGACTCAGTTGGGGTCTCAGTAACAAGTCTCACAATAGAGACACTATTGGTGCCCGCTCAAGCAAATGGATGAACAATGGGAGGACAGTGCTACAGTGCTACAGTAAAGAGATGTCAGCTGGTGCCAGAGACAGGGTTGGCATTCACACTCATTTGCTAGCTAATCACACACACAACACCAAACAAAACCTATGTTTGTTTGTGTTCATATTCACATACAACTGTAGTATATTGGGCATGTGCTTTTTTATTTTTTAAACACAAGTTTGGATCTTAAATCAGTCTTTTAAGCTTAAAACTTAGGCCAGTCCCTTTTTTGTTACACATTCTTTCCAACATGCCATTTAGTTTTTCATTTTTTTCCAATTGTCTAGGAAAATATATTCTGCCAAGAGATAGAGAATCTGGACTGCACAGCAGCAGGAAATTGGCATTCTTTTCCCTAGCATTTTGTCTTAATGATACCGTATCAGAGTTCAACCTAGTTATTTCACACAGACAGCTGTTACCAAGTCAGTGGGGCTTTCCTCCAAAGAACGGGCCTGGTTTTCTATCACATGAGAGATATACAAGTAGCCGAATTATCCTGGAGCTGGCTGCCAAACTGTGCGAACAGTTGATGACTGAGCAGGGAGAAGTGTGGAGTTGTGCGTGGATGTGGGTTGCAGGCCTGATTCTTTGGAAACTAGTATCAGTGAAGTCAATTCTGGTGCCACCAAAGCTAACGATGTAGGTTACAGAGAACAGTCTGCCTTTGAACACTTGTTCCATGGTTGCCATGATGACCAACTTCATCACCATATCCTACTCTGCCCCACACCCCCTTTGCCATTCTGAAAATTTGTTTTTTCCTCTATATAAAAAATTCCTCGGGTAACTGTCCTGAATGTAAGCTATTCTTTGAAAGGATATAACATCTTAGTAACATTTTCTTGGACAGGATGAGAAATTGAAGGAACTGAAAGGACCCAAAAGTATACTGCTATTTTTACAGAAAATTCATTGACTTTAAATAGCTGAAGTTGGAGAGTAAAAAAATCAGGCTGTGATATGAGCTAAAGACATGAATATGACTTTTCCTGACTGCTCAGTGTCCTGTGGGAAAGGTCACGAAACAAAGTCATGACAGAGTCCTGCTATCTCTGGTCAGAATCCTGGTTAAATGCAGATGTGACGGAAAGGTTTAACTTGGGCACCTCAGCAGCACTTGTTACTACTTAAAAAAAATCTGTGCGTACTCCAGGGTGGAATAGAGGGAAGATTTTATACAGTTAGCAAAAAAAAAAACAACTTTATTTCAAGCAGGTGAAGAGAAGGAGGAAGTGGTAAAATTAAGTGATTTTAGTGTGAACAATTCTGAATGTAAAGTCACAGCATTTAATGATCTTGCAGTTCCACCAAATGGCTGCAGAATATGGTCCCTTCCTGAGTTTTTTCATTTTTTTTCATCATCCTGTTATTCGTCGATTGCCTCGAACAGGCCCCAGTAACGTCTCTTTCATCCTAGCCCTGAGATTATATTCAAGGCTCTTTAGGAGAATGAGACCCATCATTGTTACTGGTATTTGGCATATTTGGTACGCCACGGGGAGTTTGCCAGACTCTGCCCTGTGGGCAGGCTACATTCGATAGCCTGCAAGTTTGTCCTGAGTTTTTAATTTTCCCTAAAAAGTGATGTGTTCAAAAGCAAAAGTTTCTGATTTTAAACAGTACCAAAATTTAATATAAGTGCATGCCCTTATAGACTGTGTGAGAACTTGAGTTCAAGTCTTTTCTTAGAGCAACTTAAAAAAGTCTGTTTGAACCCGTAGGTTAATAGACTGTTTTAACTGTAGTAGGTCAGTATCCTACTATCGTTTTCTAGTTTCAAGCCAGGTTTTCAAGCTGTAAATTAAAGACTCATTCATTTTGTTATTGCTGGTGTTTAGTTTTGTTCTTATTTGCTTTGAGTAGGGGTTATATTTTTGGTTTGGGGTATAAATACCAATGGCCGTTCTAGCTTGGTGCATAATAAAACATCTTCTGACATAGTTTTTTAAATATAAAATTCTTTCCTCTATAAAATGCTAAGATCCAGAGAGAAGTCATGAAAAGTGAGAAAAGGTTAGAAAATAAGACAGGAAGGATGAGGTGTGTTTTTTTTAATGCTTTGTCTTAGAATTTTTCTTCTTGCTAAGTGTCTGTTTTTTAGCTAGGCAAGCACCTCTTTTTGTTTTAGGTGGGAATAATTCTGGGATGATTATGTTAACATGATCCTGGTGTTTTTCTATGTTTTTGTAGAATAATACTAGACTGCTCAATTCAAGGACTTCCTTTCACCAGTAACAGATTCTGTTTGAGAAGATCAAGGTCATCATGACCTTTTGATGTAACTAGAAATAGATATATTTCTTTTTCCAGGAAGACCAACGTTCCTATTTAAAATGGGAAATAAACACATATAAATTGGCAGTTTTTAGAAATCATACTAAATTTTATTTTTCTCTCCCACACAGGAAGAATTTGATGGAAAACCTGATTCCCTTTTTTTTAATGATGGCCAGCGCAGAATCGATTTTGTTCTCGTGTATGAAGATGAAAGTAGGAAAGAGGTCAATAAAAAGGGCACAAATGAAAAACAAAGGGTATGTTTTTTATGCTATTTCCCTTTCTCCCTACTCCTTCTAACACTGTGATGTGGAAAAAGCAAGTACTACTTATATGTATGTAATAAAAGTGGTGTTGGAAATACCATACACCAAACATCAGACTACCTTGCTTTTTTCTGCTTATCATTCCCTCAAGGCATGGTAACATAAGTCTGGGATATGTATGTATATAGTTTTAAATGTATGTGTATAGTTTTTCAGGCTGTTAATCTCAGGTGATCCTATTGCCAAAGGAATTCTTTCTTCCAAGGAATTACAGTTGTATCCAGTAGAAGGGATTTACATTAAATGCACATCTGGCTATTTGCAGTTAGGTGGAAAACAATTAATGACAGTAAGTGCAATCACAAATAGCAGTCACTGTGCACTTATTCTATACATATTTTGCATGTATTTTTTTCTCAATTATAACAACGTAAGAGGTATGCTTTACTGTCATATCCTGTGGGTCACAGCTCAGGTCATTGACTATAAGAGGTGGAAATCCTGTCATGAATCCAGAACCTGTGCCTCTCCCATTTTATCACCTCTCTTTCTTCCAACTCTTTAGCTGCCACTTCCTTCTGTTTCAATTTGTATTAAGTAATAGGCATTCTTTTAGGAAAAAGGAAGCAATAGAATTTGCTTAAATGAATTGACATGGAGAGTACCATGCTGAGTGAAATGAGTTAGAAGGAGGGGGGCAGACATAGAATGACTGAACTCATTTGTGGGATATAAAAAAAACACAGAGGGGGTATGATGTCGCCAGCAGGTCAACCTATACCTTCAAGGTGAACACATCAGCAGCCTGTTGGTGCCTTCAGGCTTCCTGATACCCCCAAATTGCCACTGTGCCTTTGACCAGCCCCCAATAACTTGGGTCCAAGTTTACCAAGAATTTAAACAGCCAAAAGTTAGGTATGTGGGAGCCACACTCACAAACTACCTTCGGCTCAAGCCATACAAGCTCATTTATTGGCCTTGTTTCAGAGACCCGTAAACAAATCTCGAAAGAGATCAAAAGCCTCAGTTAATCTCAGTTCCATGCTCGACTGAATAGACTGGGTAAATGGAAGGATGGGTTATTCTAGTTTCCGCCCAAGCAGAGCCCCTGGCAGCCACTTGCTTTCACAATTCAAAATTGCAGCCATACCCCTGGCCTGACTCCACCATCTCAGGATGGACCTCACCAAGATATAATGTGTTGAAAATTTAAGTATGTGGGTTTTATGAAAGAAATCTGCAGGCTTTCTCAGAGTTGGGATGGACTACCTCCCCCCTCTTCCCCATACTCCTGGAAGCACTGGCGGTCACCCCCACGAACCAACTCCAGAGCCACCTTGTAAGCTCTACTACCAGCCTTGCTTCAGAGACCCATAAATAAGTCTCGAAAGATATCAAAAGCTGCAGTTAATTTTGGACCCGCATATGCCTGAACAGACTGGGGTAAATCTGAGGGGAGCAGGTTAGCCAGGGTTCCACCCAGGCAGAGCCCTCAGCATTCGCTTGCTTCCACAACCCAAAATCGCCACCATTCCCCTGGCCTGACTCCACTGTCTCAGGATGAACCTCATCAAGATATAATCTGCTGAAAATTCAGGTATGCAGGTTTTGTGACTGAAATCTCCTGGCTTTCTCCGTGTCAGGATGGGCTACCTACCCCCACCTCCCTGAACTTCTGGAAGCCTTGATAGTCACATCCACACCCCAAAGTGCCCATTCAGTTGAAAAGCTTCTCCAGCCTACTGTCCTGACGACCCCCACAGCCACACTCTTAGTGTTCACAGGCCTCCAGGGCTGTGCATGGCAATTCTGAGAGGGCCTTGCGGTACCAGGTGTCAGGCAGAGTCACACACTGGCACAGTGGTCTTTAACCCCTGGACTCTGCCTCCTACTGCTTAATCTTTTTATGGTTTTGTAGAATCCACAGTCTTTGGAATGTGATAGTCGAATTTTAATTCTGTATTATTTATAATAACGCTAATTGATATAATGAAGTTGATTGGATGCTAATCACTTAACACTGTAAGGGGTGATGTATTGTGAAAACAAATGTGACATTCCATTTGGCATAATGGATTGGAGCTAGAGGTGAGAATTCATGACTGGGGTCAATGAGGACCCCAGTCTGACTGATGGTTTACCATATTCAGTAGCCTAAGTGCATTTTGAGCAAGACACAATGGGCAGGGTGGGAGAGGGAGGCAGGGAGGGAAGGAGGGAGGGAGGGAGGGAGGGAGGGAGAGAGAGAGAGAGGGAGAGAGAGAGAGGAAAGAGAGAGAGAGAGAGAGAGAGAGAGAGAGTGCAGGCACACTTCCGTAGGGGTGTGGCTGTGGGTGTGAGAGGGAGAGAGAGAGAGAGAGAGAGAGAGAGAAACTATATTCATATTGACTTGGCCAGGGTTAAGAAGATGAAAACATAGTTCCTGTCTGTCAGCTGTTCCCCATAGGGAGTACACGGTATAGTACCAAAAGAAACACGAATCATTGAAGGACATTGTCTAGATTTTCTTTTCCACGTGGTGTTTTAGAGTTAAATAGCCTGGAATATCTTACCGCTTTCCTGAGGACACTGAGATATTTTCGATGCAGGCACAGTCACCATCATCAAATATGCATTAAGCATCTTTATGTCTGTAGATTGAGAACTGTATAAAGTAAATTAAACAAGTATAATCCATTAAAGTTTAAAGGAAACTGTGGGTTTTAGACAAGAATTTGCTGCTGTAGTGGAGGAATTTTAGAGGTCGTTACATTATTAATAATTTCTGCACTGTCTTTATAAAGAAGTATAGGTCCTAGGGTCATGCTCACATATCAAAAAAGTAATAAGTATTAATTTTGGCAATCCTTGAACTCAGGTGATACATTGTGATGTTGGTTTTTATAAGCTGTGCTTTAAAGTTTTTGAATTTCTGTTTGTATAGAATATCTAAATATTCCACCAAATTCCACCAAAATTCAGTTTAACTTTGGAATGACATATTTCTTGGAAAAACATTTCATCATACTCCCTGTCAATGTTCTGCAGTACCAATTTTAAATTTTTAAAATCCGCCTTTTATTTTTGTTTCAGTTTGGTCTTTTTGGAATTAAAAATGTGTAAATCATAGATTTCCTGAAGTAACACTTTTTGCTGGAGGCCAAACTAGAGAATGCTGTCGAACTGTTAAGTGCTTTTTCTTTTTTCTGACACTAATAAAGAAGATAAAAGTGATTGGGTCATGGTCATTAAAAACAAAAGAATAGAAAGTTGCCTTTTCCATGAGCAAGAGAAAATATTTTTTCTATAGCCAAATTTCAAGTGGCGTGGGACTTTCTCCCTTTATATTAGTGAAAAAGTTCCAGAAACCTCTTGTACTCCTTTAAGAACAAACAAATTACATTTAGTTTTTTCATGAAGATAACTTATAAGTCATTATACTAATAAATGCTTATTTAGCCAATATTGTCCTTGTTGCAGAATCTGTTTGAATGGGTTTTTCTAAATTATAAATAACAGGAAACCAATCTCAAAAAGGCATGAATGCTAGGAGGAAAGAATTTTCTCATTTTATAATAGAATGGAGGTGGGACCGTTTCTGGATTAGATAACTCATTGGCTTAATGAAGTCAGCTGGAACCCTAGCTTGTTCCTTCCTTCCTCCCTGCCGTCTTCAAAATATTAGGTGTTCTTAAACAGATCTTTTTGTTGTTGTTACAAAGTGGCTGAAATATTCCTAGGCATCCAGCCAGAGGCAAAAAGAGGGAGAAACCTAGAAACCTTTCTCATTACCCTTTGCTAAGGAACAAGAAGCCTCCCCTCAAAGAGTCATAAGCAGATTTCCCTTCAGTCCCCATATGACACTATTGCAAACACTATTGCAGTATGTAAGATGCAATTGGTAATATCGCATTACCAATATGCAATATGTAAGATGAAATATATTGCATACATGTTGGTAATATTGCAAACATGTTGGTAAGATGGAATTTCTCTCGTTAGCATAGACTAATCACAGTCACCCACCTCCAGATACCTGGAAAGCCACTGGGCTTCTCTGGCAATAGAGAAAGGGAGAATAATGACTTTATAGACAGAAAATGGTTGGTATCTAACTGTGTTTCGCCCGTATTTAGAAAAGCAAAGTTGTTCTGTGTCTTTGTGCCACACCCAGACGTACTCAGGAATTGCTCCTGAGAAGACTCAGAGGACCGTGTGTGGCGCAGAGATAAAAGCCCCTGAAACATGTGCAAGGCAGGCACACACGCTACAGGTGTACTTTGTCTCCTGCTCACAAAGATACTTTCAATTAAAAACTAATATATAATATATATATATATGTTTCACCATCTCCTCTTGCTTATTTTTTGTGAAATTTTTTTCTTCCACTTTCGCTATAAAATTTCTAACAAGTGGTCGAATTGATCTTCTTCTTTGTATTTCTTTTTTGTCTGACAGTTTTCTCTTTTTTCTCTCAGCTTCTTTATTTTAAATTAGTTGTCTGTATATGTGATTTATTTTTGGATTCTCAATTCCATACATTTATCTGTTTGTCTGTCTTTATCCCAGTACCCTACTGTTTAAATCACTGTGGCCTTGGCTTATAATTTGAAGTCAGGAGTATGATATGATTCCTCCATTTCTTTTAAGATTACTTTGGCCATTATAGGTCCTTTATGATTTTTCTTTTAATTTTTATTAGTGAAACACCATGAGGTAAGTTGTGGACTTACAAAGTTTTGTGCTTGGGTTTCAGTTATACAGTAATCGAGTACCCATCCCTCTACCAGTGCCCATTCTCCACCACCAATGATCCCAGTATCCCTCCTACCCCCCCCCCCCCCCCATCTCACCCTGCTTCTGTGGTAGGGCATTCCCTTTTGTTCTCTCTCTCTTTTTCCTTTTGGGTGCGGTGGTTTGCAAAAGAGGCATTGAGTGGCAGTCATGTTTGGTCTATAGTCTACTTTCAGCATGCTTCTCCCATCCTGGGAGGATCCTCCCAACACCCTTTA